TGCCATGGGCAGGGACACCTCGCTCTAAAGCATATTAGCCAAAGCCTCATCCGACCTAGCCTTGAACACTGCCAGGGATGAAGCATTCACAACCTCCCTGGACAACCTATTCCAGTGCCTCACTACCCTCACAGGAAAGAATTTCCTCCTTATATCCAATCTAAACTTCCCCTCTTTAAGTTTTAACCCATTACCCCTTGTCCTACCACTACAGTCCCTAATGAAGAGTCCATCCCCAGCATCCCTATGGCCCCCTTCAGATACTGGAAGGCTGCTATGAGGTCTCCACGCAGCCTTCTCTTCTCCAGGCTGAACAGCCCCAACTTTCTCAGCCGATCTTCATATGGGAGGTGCTCCAGTCCCCTGATCATTCTCGTGGCCCTCCTCTGGACTTGTTCCAACAGTTCCATGTCCTTTTTATGTTGAGGACACCAGAACTGCACACAATACTCCAGGTGAGGTCTCACGAGAGCAGAATAAAGGGGCAGGATCACCTCCTTCGACCTGCTGGTCACACTCCTTTTGATGCAGCCCAGGATACGGTTGGCTTTCTGGGCTGCAAGTGCACACTGAAGCCGGCTCATGTTCATTTTCTCATCGACCAGCACCCCAAGTCCTTCTCCACAGGGCTGCTCTGAATCTCTTCTCTGCCCAGCCTGTAGCTGTGCCTGGGATTGCTCCAACCCAGGTGTAGGACCTTGCACTTGGCATGGTTAAACTTCATGAGGTTGGAATCAGCCCACCTCACAAGCGTGTCAAGGTCCCTCTGGATGGCATTCCTTCCCTCCAGCGTATCAACCGAACCACACAGCTTGGTGTCATTGGTAAACTTGCTGAGGGTGCACTCAATCCCACTGTCCGTGTCAGTGACAAAGATGTTGAACAAGACCGGTCCCAACACTGATCCCTGAGGGACACCACTCGTAACTGGTCTCCAGCCGGACATTGAGCCATTGACCACAACTCTTTGTGTGCGGCCATCCAGCCAGTTCTTTATCCACCGAGTGGTCCATCCATCAAATTGATGTCTCTCCAATTTAGAGACAAGGATGTCGTGTGGGACAGTGTCGAACGCTTTGCACAAGTCCAGGTAGATGACATCAACTGCTTTACCCCTGTCCATCAGTTCTGTAGCCCCATCATAGAAGGCCACCAAATTGGTCAGGCAGGATTTCCCCTTGGTGAAGCCATGCTGGCTGTCACCAAGCACCTTGTTGTTTTTCATGTGCCTTAGCATGCCTTCCAGGAGAATCTGCTCCAAGATTTTGCCAGGCACAGAGGTGAGACTGACTGGTCTGTAATTCCCCGGGTTATCCATTTTCCCCTTCTTGAAAATGGGGGTTATATTTCCCTTTTTCCAGTCGTTGGGAACTTCACCTGACTGCCATGATTTCTCAAATATGATGGCCAGCGGCTTAGCAACTTCATTTGCCAGCTCCTTTAGGACCCATAGATGGATTTCATCAGGACCCATGGACTTGTGCACAGACAGATTTTTAAGATGGTCTTGAACCAATTCCTCTCCTACAGTGGGCCTGACGTCTTGATTCTTACAGTCCCTGCGTCTGCCTTCCAAGACTTGGGTGGTGCAATCAGAGCCTTTGCTACAGAAGACTGAGGCAAAGAAGTCATTCAGAACCTCAGCCTTCTCCAAATCCTGTATAGCTAGTTCACCGGAGAGCTTCCTGAGGAGGCCTACGTTCTCCCTAATCTGTTTTTTATTTGCTATGTACCTGTAGAATCCCTTCCTGTTATCCTTAATAACCCTAGCCAAGTTTAATTCTAACTGGGCCTTAGCTTTCCTAACCTGGTCTCTAGCTTCCTGGACAACATTCCTGTATTCTTCCCAGGCTGCCTGTCCTTGCTTCCACTTTCTATAAAGCTCTTTTTTCATTTGAATTTTCCTCAGGAGCTCCTTATCCATCCAAGGAGGTCTCCTGGCCCTCCTGCTGCACTTTCTTCTAGTTGGGATGCAACACTCCTGAGCTTATAGCAGGTGATCCTTGAAGACCAACCAAGAGTCTTGAGCCCCCCTGCCCTCTAGGGCTATATCCCATGGAACCTTACTAAGCAGGTTCCTGAAGAGGCCAAAGTCCGCTTTTTTGACGTCCAGGGCAGTGAGCTTGCTGCACGCTCTTCTCACTGTCCTAAGGATCTCAAATTCAACCATCTCGTGGTCGCTGCACCCAAGGCTGCCCTGGAGCGTCACATTTCCAACGAGCCCTTCCCTGTTGGTGAGCACAAGGTCAAGCATGGCACCTCTCCTTGTCGGTTCCTCTATTGCAGAAGGAAGTTGTCTTCCACACAATTGAGGAACCTCCTGGATTGCTTGTGCCGGGCCATACCGTCATTCCAACAGATGTCAGCGTGGTTGAAGTCACCCATGAGAACGAGGGCCTGTGAGCATGAGGCTTTTCCTATCTGTCTATGGAGTGCTTCATCCACAGATTCCTCTTGATCAGGTGGTCTATAACATATCCCCACAGTAATGTCTCCCGTCGCTGTTTTCCCTTTAACCCTAACCCACAAGCTCTCTGTTATCTGCTCACCTGTCCCCAGACAGAGTTCCATACACTCCAGCCTATCCCTAACATAAAGGGCAACTTCCCCTCCCCGCCTGCCAGGCCTGTCTTTTCTAAAGAGTATGTAACCTTCCATTCCAACACTCCAGTCATAGGAGACATCCCACCATGTTTCTGTGATGCCTATTATATCATACCCCCGTAGACTAGCACACATCTCTAATTCCTCTTGGTACAAATGAAATTCCTCATGGTACAAATGAAAGCAGGACTTTACTGCCTTCTTGTCATGTTTGCCACCATACTTTGCCTTTTCTCATGTGCCATGTGACAAATCCACGTGACTCTCCATTCTACTGCCAGTCAGAAAATGACAGAACTCATTGCAGCATCATTCGATTTCCCCCATACATTTAAAATCAGTACCGTATCTTAACAACCACAGCAAAATCAGGCTAATTTTCTTGCCCTGCAACTGTCAACTCATCACTTCTGTGCTTCTATCACTGCTTTGAGGTGATTCATTAAAGTGATCATTCACTTTAATGTAAAATGGCTTGGACACTTGTGAAAGTTTCATTTCAGTATCTGATTATATATTTCAGTTACTACACAGCTCTCATCCCCATAGCATTTAGATGAGTACACTACTTGTCTAGGCCCACCTCCAGTGGAAGTAATTCAAGTAATCAAATGTTATTCAAATATTCAATTCAAATATTAAAATGATGCAACCAAAACCAATTAATTTTTAATAATAATAATATGCTGGCCTGTGTCAAAAGGAGCATGACCAGGTCCATGGAGGTGATCCTGCCCCTCTACTCCACTCTCATGAGATCACCCTGCAGTCCTGCATCCAGCTCTAGGGGCAACAACACAAGAGGGACATGGAGCTGTTGGAGTGAGTCTGGAGAAGGCCATGAGTATGCTCTGAGGGCTGGAGCACCTCTGCTCTGAAGACAGGCTGAGAGAGCTGGGCTTGTTCAGCCTGGAGAAGAGAAGGCTTCAGGGAGACCTTAGAGCAGCTTCCAGTGCCTAAAGGGGCCAAAAATAAATCTGAAGAGGGGCTTTTGACAAGGGCCTGTAGGGACAGGAAAAGGGGAATGGCTTTAACCTGACAGAGAGGAGATTGAGATGAGACATTAGGAAGAAATCCTTCCTTGTGAGGGTGCTGAGGCGCTGGCACAGTTTGCCCAGAGAAGCTGTGGCTGCCCCATCCCTGGCAGTGTTCAAGGACAGGTTCAAGGCAGTGTTCAAGGCCATGCTTGGCCTTGTCCAAGGCCCCTCACACAGGGGCTTGGAGCAACCTGCTCTAGGGGAAGGTGTCCATGCCTGTGGCAGGGGTTGGAACTGGATGAGCTCTAAGGTCCCTTCCAACCCAAACCATTCTGTGGTTCTGTGATTTTATTTTCTTTGCCAGTTCTTTGCTTGCTGCTCTGCAGATGTAAAAACTAAATGTATCATTTTGGATAAGAAAAACTATCCAACAGTATTAACCAGATTACTTGTCATCGTGGATGGGACCATTACAGTTGGTATCATATGCAGAGTCACAAATTAATGTATCATGTACTATAAATTGACTGAAGTTTTTTTATCCTTGTAATGTGATAGAAAAGAGTGCTGTAGGTCTGCGCTAATGACAATAAAATAACAAAAGAAATAATCAGGAAAAAGAGAAACAGAACTTTGGCACTCTCCCCTTGTTCATGCTAATCCTCCTGATGTAGGTTTTAAACTAGAAATGGCTTAAGGACCATGGTTCCACACTGATTTATGTCACCTGAATGTCTGATCTAGTGTATTACCACTCATTTCAATGTTGTCATACTCTGCTGAGGCCACAAAAGGGCTGGCAGAAGACTCCTCTCAAGTACATGGCAGTTTGTGAAGTACTCTGAGCTTCTTCAGGTCATCGTTTTAAGTACTGCTACATGAACCTGTACTTCAAGAAAGAGGCAATTCACAGCAATTATATGGGAATCAAGATAGAGGTATCAGGCTAAATTCTTGGCCTGGAATGCATGGAAGTAGTTCTCAGAAAGCCCTTATTCCTTGCACAGTCCCAGTCTTGTGCTTGCCTGTTAAGGAATTTGGTCTTGGGAGACACTGTTGCTACAGCATCTCCAAGGGGCATTCCTGGAAATAGGGGCTGTGGATGTGTTCAGAGGGAACCTGAGCCGCCTTGTGGCCTCATGTTCCTGGGAGGATGGTCCAGCCTGTCCATTCAGAGTCAGACCTTATTGCTCAGAACAGTCTATTTCTTGTATTTGCTGCCCATGCCACATCTGAAACGTGAAGGAAGTCCCTGTTGGACATTCCAAACACTCAGCAGGAGTGCACATCTGTCATTTCTATTACAAAGTTAAATTTCTACATATAAGAACAATTTCTGACCAATAATGTTCTTTCTGTAGTATGTTTCAGATCCACTAAAAGATCTGGTTAAGCCTCCTCACTTTTTATCTCAGACAGGTGAAGCTGGCAGAGCTGTGTGTTCAGCCGAGCCACACAGCTCCTCATTTTCCAGGGGCTGTCCCTTGCATGCCCTGAAATAGTCTCCGTGGATCAGAGGAAACATGAAAAGGATTTTTCAACACAAGCAAACCAACTAAACAAAATCTGACCTGTCTCTTTATCCTTTAGCTGGAAGCCTTTTCTTCTAAAGGAATCTCATCCAACAAGAGAGTAATCATATCTGTGGCACTGAGAGCAAAACAACAAGCAATTTCCTGTACTTTTGTCTTTCTCATTTTCCACAAGTGCAAATAGCTTCAATTACTTCCTCAAAGTTTGATGAGTTCCACAGTGGGGCCAGTGATTAACTGCAAGGGAAATTTTTACTTCTCTCCTTGACTTGTGCTTTTTGCTACCAGTTAAGCCATTCCACAGCAGCACTGCACGTCAGTCCTACCTAATCACCTGCATACACACACCGGGGAGAGGAAGAGGTGGTAACAGGAACGGCCCGGCTGAAATGCTGCAGATGAAAGACTTTCCATGTGGCTTGCCTCCTGTGCTGAATGCGTTGAGTCATGCTCTGCACACCAGAGCATGAGTAAGAGAGCTCAGCCTGCTCTGAAGCTGTGTTTTATTGACAAGCTGACAACATCAGCTCCTGTTGCCAGTCTCACTCCCTTGAGTGGCTCTCTGCGTGACTTCCCCTGCGCTGCTCTTCTCTGCCCAAACAGGCAGGGCCAGCCGGAGCCACCTGCCACCGTGACTCAACAGATCAAGACCACATGCCTGCAGGAGTTCTGCCTCACCTTCTTATACTGCATTGCCATAATACATGAATAAAGACTGACTTCAGGAGCAGTAGGGGAAGAAAAGGGGTAGGTTTTGTGTGCGAACATGCTGAACTCCTGCTGCTGACTGAGGTTCTGTATTTGAGAGGCCCAGTGCTGACTGGGAAGCAGGTTCAGGTAACTTGGGAATGACCATAATATAAAATAACTTTAGAGCTGGAGTTTTCAAAGGAGGTAGATTCCTGATGGAGTACAAAGGGTATTGGGTAGTGAGTGTTCTGACATTCATAGCAGGCACCAGGTTGGCTGGAGGGAGGAGGCAGACCCTGATCCCAAAATGTGGGCTTTTGTATGAAGCCCTAGATGATGCTGATTTGAACCTGGTGTCTGATCTGAAAAGCACTAACAGCAGTCTATTTATGGAAACCACATCTTCTAAGCACACCAGAGGAAGCAAGGTTTGGCTCATTTGTTAATGTTTCCGTGAAGAAGGTGACTTTTTTTAGTCAGTCTGTGTTTCTTCAGTCTGTAGGAAGAAGACCCTTAGCCTTGGCCAAATCAACTATCATCAGTGGTCTGCCTTGGCCTCAAATTGGGAGACTTGGAGGCACACCATACATAATGCTGTTGACTCCTTTGAGAGTTTACAAAGAACTAGCCCCCAGGAGAAAAGACAACGCAGAAAGAATCGTGCCCCACCTGTACCACCCAAGGAGACCTTTTGCTGTGCTTTTTGTAGCCGGATTTGCCTATCCTACATCGGCCTTCTTAGCCATCAGCGCGCCTGTAGTAAGCGTGGGCAAAGCCCTTCCTAAATCTTCGTTCGCGAAGTGAAGCCATGATGAGTGAGGAAGAAGACCACTTGTCTAATCCATGATGATCTACACTGCTGTAGTACTCACCATAACAAACTCCACTGGGAAAGAATAACAAATGGAGCATGTTCAGTGAGTGTTCAGTGGGAAGAGGCTGCAAGAACAAAAAAGAGGGCAGCATTGCCTGAATAGCTTATTCACTTGGGTTTATTTGCTCAGTGAGCCAAGAGCAAATGTAGTCAGGGAAAGGTGCCGAAGCCAAACAGTGCCTAGGGGGTTGGCAACAGGGCACTCTTCCAGCTTGCTTGACTGCTCTGGGGCCTTAACAAGAGAACCCTGGCATAAGAACAGCATTGTCTACAGACCATGAAAATTTCTACATCTATTCCACCACTCTATAGAAGAGTACTCCTTGTTCTAGAGATGAATTCTTTCTCAACAGCTCACCAAGCCAGTGGCCTTTTTGCCAGCAGTGTTGGGCAGCAGTTGCTAGACCGGATGTTAAGCTTGTGAGGCAGGAGTTTGGGCAAGGCTTTCTTTGTCACTCTGTCCTGTTTGCCAATCCCTGAAGTTAAAAAGTTACTCTAAATGGGAGAGTGAGAGGCCAGAATGACAGTGATACCTCTAAACTTCTCCATCCCATCTTCTATATGGGCTTACTGAATGGGTGAGGAGAATTATTTAGATGCACTGGCAATTTTCCTTGACCCTCTAGGAACTGTGGCAAGCTTTCAGGATGTATGGAATATGAGGACAAGAGAAAAATGGTACATGATCTCACCTGTAGCTTTCCTTTCTCCAATGCTTTCAGTGGTACCCTGAACTCCTACATGCCAAGACCTGGGACCTTACACAACATGTCCACCCTTTAGAAGTGCATCAGCACAAAATACAGATTTCTTCAGAAGAGACTGATCGCTCCACTGTCAGTTGTCTGGCACAGATAGAAAATCAGGTGGATATTCACCTGGCCTGGAACATTGCTTCTTTAAATGCAGTTCCAACTGACTACAAAGTTGTTTGCTTCTTGGCCAAATTATTCTGCAGAGTCAGCTCTGCATCCTTCTGCTCCTACATGGCAGCATTTCAGCAGTAGCTGGAGGGAAAGTGTCTGTCTGCCATAGTATTGCACCCAGTTTGGGATTCTCCCAAGTGGCACTCATTATGTCACTGTATGGTGACATTGTTAGCATATTTTAGCCAGCACCAGTCAATGTCAGATTGTTTCATGGTGTGTTCAACAGGCATCAACGTTTCAAAAAGCACCAGACAAATGTCTTTTGACTTGACCCCTTTAGTGCAATGTAATAGATCATTTGCGTGTTTAACAGCTCTCAAAGCATTGATGCCTGCGTGCTTGCAAAATAGATATCTTCTCACTCCATATTTTCCTCCTTCAAATGCCATGAGAAATTATTTAAGGAAGTTTTAATGAAATGCATCTGTCACTTATGAAGATAAATAGCCATAGTATGCCTTTCCATTACTGGAAATGGCAGAATTAAATTAGAAAATTACAATCCTCAGCATCTTCCCTGACTTGTTTTTGCATAATGTGTTAGAAAATATGCCCACATAGGCAGAATGCTGCAATACCAATGGAGCATGTCATAAAACAAGACCTCTTTTTATGGTTGTTTTGTTACTTTGCATTGGGGAATTTTCTCCCATGGATGATTTTTGCTCCTGTTTCTGGGCAAAGAGGCTCAATTAGTAAAAGGAACTTAACTAAAGTCACAAATAGATAAAATCCTCCCTCTCTTCCAAAACTTCAGTTCTGGACTTCTGTCTGTATTGTTATATGGCTTCCAAGCCAAATGACCATAGTAGAACATATGATTCAGACTCTGTAATTCCTCATATCCCATCTAGAGGGCTTCTCCTTTTCTATTACGTGGGATGAAAATAGTGTTACTATTGAAATCCCTGGGGGCGCACTTTTGACAATAGGAATTATAGAATAATAGAATCACAGGTTGGAAGGGACCTCAGGGATCATCTGGTCCAACCTTTATAGGCAAAGCATGACCTAGACTAGATGTCTACTCAGGTCTTCAAAGTGTACAACGTTGGGGAATCCACCCCTTTGCTGGGGAGATTATTCCAATGGCTGATTGTTCTCATTGTAAATAATTTTCCTCTTGTGTCCAATTGGAATCTTCCCAGGAGTAACTTGTACCCATTACCCCTTGTCTTTTCCATATGACTCCTTGTAAAAAGGGTGTCTCCATCTTCTTTGTAGCCACCCTTTAAATACTGGTACGTGGTGACAGGGTCTCCCTTGAGCCTTCTCCATGCTGAACAAACCCAGCTCTCTCAGCCTGTCCTCACATGGCTTCCCAGTCCTTAGATCATCTTGGAAGCCCTTCTGTGGACCTTTTCCAGCCTGTCCATGTCTTTTTTGTACAGTGGGGACCAAAACTCGGCAGTATTCCAGGTGTGGCCTGACAAGTAGAGTGGAATAAATATTGTATTCTGAAGCTTAGACAGAAAGATGGCTATTAAAGGAGACATTTAAATGAACAGTGGGATGGTGTGAAATTGTCTTTTCAGAGGGAATGGGCTCCTCTTAGTCCCTCATTAGCAAGCTTGTCTTTTTGTCCTCAGAAGCAGATTGTTGGTAATTGGTTTTGTCTTTTTAAGTGAAGAGTTAGACTCCTTAGAGTCTAGCCCAGCTAAAGTAAGCCAGAATGTGATTTGCAATGTGATTTGCAGCCTTTAGCCATGCTACTTCTGGAAGCAAAGAGGTAGCAATTGAAATAAGTTCACAACAGAAGTCCCTTGTGTTTCTCACCTGCGCTTCCAGCTGGCAGTGGAGGATGCATGCAGAATACTTCCATCCTTCAGCCCTCACACCTGCTCCACACCAGCAGCATATGTTCCTGCTCCCCTGCTCCATCGACATCCAGCTCCCCCAGCATGATTCCCACTCGTTCTTCTGCTGCTTCTCTCACTTTCCTTTTGATGGCATGTGGATTTTGCACAAGAGATGGCTTCAGCAGAGACAGTAGTGCCTGCTACCCAAACTCAAGTTTGGCACCTTCCTAATGATTCCCCATCCCTCATTTCCTGAATAAATGCTTTAACTGCTGTGCTTTTATTCTGTGCTGAGGGGAATTATTGATGCATGTAGCTGTTAAAATTCACTGAGCCCAGCACTGTCTGTGCATGTCAGGAGGGTTCAGGCAGGAGGAAGGACTGTCTTGCATCACCTCTTGTGGGTAGTCAAATGCAGATGCAAAGCTTGATGTGAGCAGAGAATGTTCTTGTAACTAATGAATATAGCAGGTTCAAAAGGGAGCAAAGGAACTTCCCTAGCAAACCTCATAAAATTGTGCTTACTTTTTTGCTCATTAAATCAATGTAATTTTTGTTGTTCCTGTTCATTCCAACCTCCAAAATTCCTGAAACATCCCAAAGATCCCTGTAAGGAAAGGCAGGGGTGGGAGAGGAAGGGGGTAGTAACTGAAGGTCCCAATATATTGAATACATCTGGGGCAATCCCAGGGCTTTCTGAGCACATGAAGTAAGCAGATAAAATATATGGAGCATGAAGGTGGGCTTGTTGAGAGATGAGAGCTTTTAAAGATCCCACTGCTTTCCTTTCAGCCTCATCTTAATTGAACTCAGTTAACAGCAACCCTGCATGAAGTAAATGCTGCTTGTCCCAGCTTTGACCTTCAGTAGTCCTCCAGGAGTGCAGATAGGGATGTACATCACTATTTCCCTGACTATACAAAGGAAAAAAAGCTCGTATTTAAATGCCCAGATAAACATGAACAGCTTTACTGATGAGCACAAATAGCCCCAAGGTCACAGAGGAGCAGTACAAGCAGTGGTCAGTGTGGGAAGTGCCTGGTCTCCCAGAGGGATCAGTACTTGTTTCTTGCAGATGGCAACACACCCCTGTAATGCTTCCAGTTATTGGCAGGATTTTGTTCGAGCATTTACTCCAAGGGTTGGCATGTCTTGCTGACTCTGGTAGGGGATGGCTTATCCTAGGAAGCTGTCAAATATGATTACCTTTAAGTTACCTGGCACTGCTCTGCATGTTATTAATAATCACACAATGATCAAACTCATCAAAATCCAGCCTTGGCATTTAACTCTATACTTCCTCTGTAGCCTATTGTACAGGTTGACTTCATCCTGTGCAGAGAAGCATTTCTTTTTATTTTTTTCTACAGGTAATGCCCTTTAATTTCATCAAGTTTCAGTTGTTCTCTGTCCCTCCATGCAATCTGGCAGAGGTGGGATGAGAACTTCTCTGTGCCTCCTGGATCTG